TGTTGCACCCCCCCCCTCCCCCCTCCCTTCCTGCAGGTGATTGTCAGCTTGGCTACCTGAGATGTGAGGAGAAACATTTTCCTGCATCTAAACTTCTCTCCCGTCAGACGGAAATGTCACCGGACTCTAAATCTGGAGGAGATGTGTCCTTTAAAGAGAGCGGAGGTGTTGAGCCAAATGTCAACTGAGAGAGAATCAAGGAGTAGAGGAGTCACCCAGATCTGAACTAGAGGTGGAGGAGTGTTTAACTCCTGGGGAAATGCTTTAATTTGAGGGTGGTTCCTCCTTTAAATAGCTTCACTGTGCGTCGCTATGGAGCAGACGATCTGGCGGCGGTGGGTGTGAGCTTTTCCACAGGAAGTCATGAAGCTAAATGTTAAGTTGATGCAGAAACTGTCACTGAGATCTGGATAAAAACTGAGTCTTGTCACTTTTAAATCGCTGCTTTTTGAAGCTACCTTAAATGTGTGTAAGCTGCTTTTAAGGTAACAAAAATAACCAATACAGTGGAAGCACATTATTGAGTGAAGATAATAAAATCAACACACCAGGTATCAAATACATGGATAAAAAGCCAAACTGCAGTTTGAGTTTGAACAACTCATCCAAAAGCTGCGTCAAAGGGTACCACTTTACAATAAGACTACCCTTATAAAAGGGTTTGAGAATAGTTCATAATTCATTTATTAATTAGGTTTATAAATCCTTAATAAGCTTTTATAAGACATGAGATAAACAGGGCAACTGTGACCGGTTGCTTGCCAAATAGTGAGCCCACATGTATCTGTACTGCTAAGTCTTATATTGGTTACCTAGCTTACTTTGTCTCCATCAGCCAGCATCCTTGGTATCTGTTGCTCACCGAGTTGATTCTCGCTAAGTAGCCAATATAAGGCTTAGTCATCTTGCCAAATAGTGAGCCCACATGTATCTGTACTGCTAAGGGTTATTAGGAAAGGTAGTAACTCATTAATAAATGGGAATGTGTTTTACACTTTACAATAAGGCTCCCTTTTGGCAACTATAAATGTTAGTAACTCGTAAATAAATGGTCATAAAGAGATGCCAAGAAACATCATTATAGAAGGGGGGGGGGAATCAACTCAGTGAACAACAGATACCAAGGATGCTGGCTATAGATGAAGAAGATGAAGTAAGCTAAGTAGCCAATATAAGGCTTAGTCCTCTTGCCAAATAGTGAGCCTGTGTTGATGTATGTTAGAACTGGTTTATAAATGGTTGTTAATGATTAATAAAGTGTTTACAACCTAATTCATAACCTAATTATAAACCCTTTTAGTCTTATTGTAAAGGGGTACCGCATTGCCTCCATTAATCATTAACCATGTTGAGATCATATGTACACAAAAGGGAGAAGTGAAAAGGGAGAACTTAAATGGTACAAAGAGATGTAAAACCATTAGACCCCCGGCTTCAAAAGCTCTCCAATAAGTGAGTGGCCTGCTGTCAAATTACACCCTCACAAAAGAGCCGGTGGAACAAGGCCATTTACACCCCGGTGAAAAAGAGAAGCCATAAATTGTGCAGATGGATGGCTGTGGAGACATTCTTGGGAGTAGTAAATTGTTCTGCCTTTTTAACTGCCGTAAAAAAATTCCTCGTACAAGAGGGGCCTTAAAGTCGAAAAAAGACAAGGAGTCAATGGGCGTGATGGAGGGAGAAGAAGTCCCACAGCGTGTTTTTAAAAATCCCATTACTTACCCACAGTTGACCCAGGCGATCGTCCCCTGGCCCTTCACTGTCTGGGCCACGTCGGATAGCAGTTTCAGGTGAGAGTCCCCTGATGTAGCTGCAGACACAGAGAATAAACCACGGTCAGCTTTGTCACCAAAACCGGTCAATAGCTCAGGAGAAAGCTGGCGGACACAGAGGAACACTGTCATGTCCGAACGAGACGAGGGGGGTTGAGTTACAGTGAAGCTCGCTGTCTTACTAAAAGGCCCGAGTACAGAAGAAAGAGATCACTGAGACTGGGATGGAAGAGGGTTTTCTAATAGCTTGATGGGTTCAGGGAGGAGGTTTAAGTTACATTAGCTTTCAACGTGGTACAATAGTGTGGCCAAGCAGGGGATGGGAGGATTATATTTTGGGGGCACAAAGACTTCTGGAGCACACCGACTGTTCGGATAACGGAGGAAGCACAGCAGGTGTGTTTTGGGGATCTGTAGTTTGTACCTGCTGCATGCTGCTTCCCACCGTATCCTAAGACATGATGAAGACGAGTGTGAACCCATTCATGGACCACATGGAGGGTTTATAATCACTGGAGACTTGCACAATGAACTGTGTCAGAGAGGAGAAATGGCTGACTTTGCTTTGTGTTAGGAAAGAGGAGAAACTAGTGTAATAAACTGCACCAGCTACAACAACAACACACGGTTATATTAGCGATTTCCATCAGATATGGCAAGCGAAGTAGATTCCTGTGAGTTAAGTAAACAACGTGTAGTCCTTGTGTAATACAATACATCATTAATATACTCGCCCTGAAACCAAATGTGTTTTATTCACTGCAAGAGAACAATTCCTCCCAGAGCTTCAGGCTATATTTAGACCTGGGGGCACTGACATGACTCCCCAGGGTCTCGCTCTGTAACAAAAACATCTGGCAGTTCAGGATCAGTTACTGTAGAACCATGTATGGAGCAGATTATGGCTGGTGGAATTTCAAATATGCTCACTTACGGCTGGGCAATATGACCCAACGTTTCTATTGCAATAAAGCTCCTTTCATCTCTTGATGTTCAACAGGTACTGTATAGCATGTTTTGTGGATATTCAATATATAAGTATTCTATATGAATCAAGATGTAGGTTTTATTTACTGTTTATTGCAATATAATTGATAGAGCAAAAATATATATGATAGATGTTATTATATGATATTTAGACTGCAGCCACACGAGAACGGTAACGCAAACGAACCGAATTCGATATCAAAAAGTATTCCATCCACACGCAACAGGCACCAGAAACGTGTCCGTTCACACGAGACCGCTCGAAAGCGCTGGAGACGCTGTAGTACATATGCCGGGTCTGTAAGTGGCGCTGTACTCCTGCCACAAAATACACCAAAAGCAGCTTAGAAGACTTCCCGCGCATGGTTGCCGTGGTTGCCCTTCTGTTTATTCTCCGCTGTGGACGCTCTGGCTCTTTTTCTCCCTCCCCGAGGCAAGCGTTTGCTCCTGCTGTAAATCTCTCCGGTAGTCCACCAGCAGATGAAAAACACCCACCTCTCCGCCTCTTCCAAGGAACGAGGGAACCGTGCGGCAGAGTTTCCATTAGATTCTTTTTTCGCCGGTCAACATGTCCGTTAAAGTTGAAATCTTCCGGACAAAATTAGAAAAGTGCCGGTCAGAGGTCTTCTTTGTTATTTATTGAGCTTTAAAACAAATTGATAACGACTCTATATATAATAAGATAAGAATAATAAAGCCTCTCTTTTCCTCCCCCTCTTCTGACAGCCCAGCAGCAGATCTCTGAGCAGGAGAGGCGGGGCTATTGCATCGTCGTTATCAGGACATGATCGTATAGGGCGTAGACACAGAACCGTTTGCCCCCCCAGAGCGTTTCGTCCGCAGATCTACCCACCTTGGGACCCGTTATCGTTTTCTGCGTTTCCATGTCGGCCTCGTGTGGCCGAACCGTCTATATGATAGCGGATACGACCGTTACCGTTCTCGTGTGGCTGCAGCCTTAGAATGGTGCAGGAATGAGTCTTAAAACCCGGAAATGAGTTAGCATTTTTATCACTTCCCTCGTCTTTTAGGTCAACGTTTGTTCGAAAAGTTAAATGCCGAAAAATAAGGTCCGTGGTTAACACAAGCTGAAGAGATTTCCACTTTTTATTCTACGACATTAAACACGTCAGTAAATACTCCACTGGAGAATGTCTGAAGCTTTGAACGTATCATAAAAACCAACAAGTGACTAAATGAGACGACTAAACGTCTTCACACCGAACATTAGCGACCTTTAGCTTAGCGGTGGTGACGTGAAGTCATGTGACCATGCTGTAGTTTGTTTATAGCCTAACATTAGCTAGTTATATATTTTACAAAAAGCGTAATAGTGGTTTTAATATGTAGAGATTATCCTTTTGAATAAAACGTGTCAGTATGATAGACGCGTGTTTTTCAGAGAGCTTATTTTCCAACATCCAATGTAAAAATACCGTTGATTTTGGTCCAATGAGCGCTTGCGTTGCTAACTTCCGGGTTAGCCTACTGCACCACTCTTTAGCATCTATTGCTACGCTCACTTTTAAAACTTGATGTCCTCAAAACAAAGCAAAACTCACTAACTGTGACTTACTGAAGAGAGCCAGAGGCTGGTGATGGGCAAGAACTGTGCAGTAGTGTTTTTTACTGAACTTAATGTTGCTTGAAGTGGTCAGATAATTGGCTGGTGAGGAAGACATTAAACCAGCGTGGACGAAAACGTGCGAAAGCAGAGGAGCCTTTAGTGTCTTTGAAGAAGAAACGTCTCAGTGATGCTGCTGCAACCAGTGATCAATCAGAGCCGGCTCGATACTGGAAGCCTTTATCCAATGACCTCGCTGATGTGGGACATGAATAATAAAACAAATACATCTTTGGCTGTGGGGCTCTCAGAGTCCTGTGTAATTTATTGAAGCATGAGAGGCTCTTTTAAATGGAAAATTAGTCATTTCTAGCAGCTCCATCAACAAGCCTGCTAAGTGCAGTCTTCCTAGAACTATGCAAATGAAATAGAAATCTACCATAAGGGTTCCCTAATGTTTCGGAAGAAGAAGCTGCTTTAAAGCTCCGTTTGACTGCATAAAGTGTTTTATTTTCTATTTAACGCTTAATCTGTAATTCTGTGAGATAAGCGTTTTCTAAGTTCATTACAGAGATAAAACCCTGAGATCTCGCCCCTTTAGAGCACGCTGCAGGCTAATTCTGCACAGAACATTAATTTTAAATATATTCTAAGATACTGGGGTAAAATGTTTTTTAATCTGTTGCATCAGATTTGGGCAAAGGGCCACGGTGCAATTGGATTTTCCTTATTACAGAATTAATTGAGTGTATTCGTGCAGTGTTGTGAAAAATTGTGACATGCCAATTGTTGGGGAAATATTTTCTAAGGCCCATAACTTTGACCCAGTTTCAGTTCATACTGTCCTGACTGAGCACACGCACCTGTAACCTTGGCTGCTGTGCTCTCAGTGGTTGGTCTCCCTGTTCCTGCCTGTTGGCGTCAGCTGATAGAGGAGTTATGATGAAAGAGCTAAATACACGGGTCTGGGTTAGAGTTCTTCGGAATTGATTGTGGCATCTCTACCGTGTGGTCAACTCGTGCCATCAAAGCTCCAGCTCTCCTCGTGCCTCTCTGAGTCCTGACTCCAATTGCTTCAGAAGTTTCCCCCACACCAATGATGACAATGACATCTACTTTCTCTTACACTTGCTATTTGATATTGTGTATTGTGTGCATAAGGTAGGCATTTTTGGATAATGTTGCATTTATGCTACTACACATAATTAAAGGAAATGGCATTAAGATGTGAAATTACATCTGTAACTTGTTTCAGTTCTCTAAATCAAGATGGCGGACAAAACATATAATGTGGGTTCGAGAAAGTCAAAGGTTTGTATTTGTAAGTGCGCAATCATTATTTTCTGTTGTCACAAATTATTTATTAATGACAAATTGAAGCTGTTGGATGTCTTTTAAATGTAGCTAAAGGCTTTATTGGTGACGGCTTCTAACCAAGTACCTAGAAATGTAAATGTACTTCTCACGTCTCTGAAAAAATAAATAGTGTTTAATAATGCACGTGTACAAGTCCATATGCATCAGCACTTAAAGCTTGCTTTGCTTATCAATACAAATAAGTTGACAATTATGATTTTGCATTAAAAAAGACACGCAAAATGCATCTTTAAAATGGGGGCATTACTTTAGTTGTGTGACACATATATTTTTTGTCTGTGAAATATTAGATATAACAAGTGTTAATTGGTTTTTCCAACGACCTCTACAGTGACAAGCTGTATAAAAGCCATTAAGATAATAAGCAATTTCTATGATTCCTGTACATGATGTTCTCTCCTCCCTTGGCAGACACACAGAGGCTAAACTAAACATTTATGCTGCTAAACATGAGATCATGTTAGATGTGGAAGTGTGTGTTCTCTGAACCTGTCTTGGTGTACGCCACCAGGACGTTGGTTCTCGTCCTCAGGAGCTTCTTGAAGTCTTTATGGTCGCTGACCTTCTCTATGAGAGGAGACACCTTCAGCGCCTCGAGCACCGGCAGCAGCCACACCTGAGGAAACACAAAAACACAATCATTTATGTTGCTTTATGACGCTGTCCAATAGCTGCCCACTGCTCCTGGTACTAGGATGGGTTAAAAGCAGAGAACAAATGTCACTGTGTGTGCTGTGTGCTCTGCATGTGTGACCATTAAAGAGGGTTTCATCCCTCCAATTCTAATTCTAATAACAATTATAATTCTAATAATGCAGGCAGAAGCCGTTTTAATGATGCAACAATATGAATAAATATGCAAAGCTTCCCACACATGACTGTAATGAGTAATCATGCATGGACAGGTGGTAGAAAAGGATTTCACATTAGCTTGTTTAACTAATATCTTTGCATAATGCCAACACATTGCAAAGGTTGGACAAATAAATTATCACCAAATGATGTTAGGCGTGACATCCTAGTTTATTTTAGTCTTTGACTTGTGACCATTTTCTCTGGCTTTTACAGTTATGCAATCAGAGAAATCACCATAGTTGGAGAAAACATGTCCCCCTCATTACAGAGAGAGATTCTGANGCTCCTGGTACTAGGATGGGTTAAAAGCAGAGAACAAATGTCACTGTGTGTGCTGTGTGCACTGCATGTGTGACCATTAAAGAGGGGTTCATTCCTCCAATTCTATTCTATATGTTGGCAAAGTACAGAAAGCTGACATTAGATAGATGGATCAATCTCATTTTGTTTGTGAAGCTAAATATAACACATTAGTTGCTCTACAGCAGGGGTGTCAAACTCAAGGCCCGGGGGCCAAATCCGGCCCTCGACTTCATTTCATGTGGCCCCACAAGAGCTCTGAAAGAATATAATATGTTTATTATACGGTTACATGCCGCTTTACAGAAGCACGTCACCCATAAACTACATGTCCCAAAATTAGAGATGTCCCGATCCGATCACGTGATCGGGGATCGGAGCCGATCACGTGATTTTCAAAAGATCGGAATCGGGAGAAAAAAATCGGGGATCTGGATTTATTTTTTATAAATACTTTCTTTTCTTTTTTTTATTCAATGTTACAAAACAAAAATGACCATGTTCAAGTCTTAAAGT